GTACAATATTGCCATTCAATCATGCTTTTTATGTACATACCATCACTTAAGAATTACTATTAAGTCATTTCGCTTAAAAAATTAACTGGGTGCTGCTGGGAAAGAGTCCACTTAGTTTATTTTGCGGATGAATGTGCTGTGAATGATAGAATTTAGTGCCTGTGTGAAAAGAGGCACCAGAACCCAGATCACTCTACACTTTCCTTTAAAGGACATTTCAGCTCTCTGACTTTGTTTAATTTTCTAAGAAAAAAAAAAAAAGATGAGCTGGGAAATAAAGTCTTTCTTTCACCGGGGTTTGAAACGGTCTACTTATCCCTTCTAGGATGGCATTATTTGATTTGCATTTCTGAGATATAACCAGCAGTGTTATTTTTGGTGGGAGGTCAGACTCTGGGATCCCTCTAGACAAGATGTCACAAGACCACACCGGGAGATGCTGCCTAATGAGCGTCTTCTGGATGCCATAGATCAGCTAAGTGCTCAGGGTAGGCCCGTGCCTGAGACTAAATAGTGGCAGGTAGCCCTCACCAAAGGAATCCAGAGAAAGGAGGAAGATGGGTCCAGGGACAGGGTAGTGGTGAGGAGAATAAGGGGAGAGAGTGAGAAAGATGAGGAAGAAAACGAAAAGAAGAAAGAAGGGCAGCAATGGGGCCACACATCTCTCCAATTTCCTAGAATTGAGGGGGTTGGAAAACAACATGGGACCAAGATTCCATTTACTCTTTATGGTCTTTCTTTTAGTAACCTGTATTTTTTTGGGTCTCTTATTTTGCTGTCCTCAATCCCCAACATGTGCTTCTGCTGGCAATGAAGAGTCAGCACCATGGACAGAGACCCATGGCCCATCTCTGGTCATCCAATCCATTGTATTCCACACCCCTTCCTTGCTGCTTACCTCCCCACATCCACATCATCTTCCACATACAAGAGCACCTCTCTCTGGGAGATAAAATACCAGCAATCGAATAGCAGCAAGACATCTGAAGGCAGATTTGTCCCAGCATGGTGCGGTCCTGTGGTGTTCTAGCTCTTCCTGGACTATAGAGAGTTTAAATTTTTTCACAACCATGAGCTCTACAAACACTCAAAGTTGAGTAATTTTAAAAAATGCGTAGGAAGTGAATTATCAGATCCAGGACTGGTTATGGGTTCATCAAACGCTACTAGGAAGGACAGTGGAGAAACCAGCAGAGATACATCAGTGTGTTTCAATGAGACTTTGCTTCTAAAGAGGTGGTCATGACAATGAACTAGCTACTCACACGAAAGAAAGGACTTTATCTAACCTCCCTTTGGTCTTTATTAGAAATGAGTATTTCTTGAGCTTTGGGCCAACCTGACGGATTATTTCTTTAGAATGGCTTAAAAAAGGATTATATAAGTTCTTCTAAATTAAAAATGTCTACTTTAATTTTTAATATTTTAACAAGAGACTATAGACACATCTTGAAATTTATTATCTAAAAATAGGATTTCATCAAAATACTGTTACTATTCTATTCTGGGCATTGCTAGACTATTGACTGTTTATGGCTCTCCAGACATGGTAAATACTATACCAAAAACTCTTAAAAAAGTTAACTTATTGATAAGAATAGCTTCTTGTTAAAATGAAATTCTGTGGGAAAAATATGAACTATGTATTTGTTTGAAAAGTCACTCCGCTGAGGAACAAGACATATCACAGAATCAGTGGTGGCGTGAGAGATATATACAGATTTAAAGAATCACAGGAAACAATAGTTTAGACTTGCAAATCCTTTCCTTGGCAAAACCAAAACCAAAGAAACCCTAAATTCAAAACTTGATATTATACATGGTCATGAAACCCTGTGTGATGGACAGGCAAAGCTTGTGGCCTGCGGGCTTTCCTCTTGGTCTCAGTTCCTATGAAAAAGCTCACAAATGACCACACCCTGGCTTATAGCCTAAGAATCAGGGAAATTTGTCCAACAGGACAGTGACGCATGCTTCGGAGGCAGGTAAAGGTGCTTTTGATTTATCTCGACATGGATCATAAGGAAAATAGGTACCAATAGAGAATACAGAAAATTTAACAACAGGGGACTTTGAACTTTTGTTTTCCCTAATGGAATGTCAGGTGAGGTATAGTCACCAATTATAAATGAAGGGTAGAGCCAGCCTAAAGGAGTATTGAGGTGACAATGAAATCCTTAGACTTCTACCACTAGATCTTTTGTGTCTGGATGGGCGTGGTCTTTCCCCTCCAGGCTGTCACCCTTGATGCTACCTAGAATCCATGACTTGGACTCTTCCTGACTGTCTGACTTCTGCCAATCAGGAGCAACCTCTGGGCAGTGCATTCTACTCGTGGTAATATAGCCCTTATTTCGCCACTTATTTATTGAGCGATAGAAGCATTACAACATTTCATTACTCACCTTGAACCACCTTCTATTTTCCCACAGTCCTTGAAAGGACATCTTTTGCCAATCATCAGCTTACCAGCATGTTGCTTATTACCAGTCTTCTCATCCTCTTTCTTTTTCCCCAGCCCCTTCCTTCTACAACCAGGTCCGACTCCTCTGCCTCTCCATCTCCCCCGGTACCCAATCTGAGAGGTCCTCCACAGTAAAGCTCAGGCTCCTTGAACTGACGGCCTGCTGCACGAACAACTGCCTTCTTTCTAGAAGTCTTCTCCCACAGAGCCTTCATCCCTCCAAAGTCTTCCCTTGACCAAATAAATGAATCCCTAGGCTAGTGCTAATGGGTAGACTGGAGTTAATGGGTGGCTTTTCCAGAAGTGGACATGTATATTGTAGTGCAATTTGGGTTGTTTCGACAATTTCTGTACCTTAGACAAAATGTGTTTTTGAACTAAATAGGTGAAATTCAGACATTATGGAATCGTATTGGGCAGGTGAGTGAGTCCAAGGCTTTAGTCAGGAAATCTGGGTGATATCCAACTTGCCTGTTTATAGGCCCCCTGATCCTTTGTTTTTCCTGTAATGGTTAAGAGTGCTATTGTCTATGTGCATTTCCTTAGTCAGAAGGAACACTATTTGGAGCACTGTTATGCAAACTATACATGACTTCTCTAAGCAACTGCCCATTCATGTTAGTAATGCAAGGCGCAGGGCGTAGATATCAACCAGGACTGACTAAGTCTTCGTGATTTCAGAGAAGGGCTTCATGAGTCTGAGAGGGGAATATCTAAGCCACACACCAGCTCTCACTTAGTTATCTGTTTTTTAGGGGATTTCTCTATACTTCATCTCAGTGATAAGTCAAATGATCAGAAAGTAATATAAAACTTTGCTTTCTATTGAATTAAGAATTCATTTTTATTTCCTCAATTTCTTGAAAAAAATTTACTTGAAAAAAGCCCTCACATCTTACCAAACTTTATCTTGAAGAAGTTGTCTAGTAGTGTCCATTTTCTCAGAAAACACAGGTAATGGATTTGACTTTAAATTCAACCTCAAGAGAAGTTTCCATTTCCACATGACTACCTCTATTAGTTATAATTTTTATAACAAGTATCTACAGCTCAGTATGTTTCATTTCCTCCCACTGTGATGCTATTTGTAACGTATGCTTGAATATATACAACATGATACTATGCTTGCTTTTCTTAGGTTAGGGGATAAACTTACATTCTAATCCAGATGTGCACAAGAGGAGTTCTCAGCTGGGGTTCTAACCAGGGAGTCCATATTCTAGAGGTGGCGACTACCAAGCTTTGCCACTTAGCATAATGCATTTCAGATATGGGTTTTTAATTGGAGAAATTAGTGACCTGTCAAATACCATGTTAGATGTTAGAAATGAGCTTTCGATGCTAAAATGAAAGGCATTGATGCTAAATTGAAAGAGTAGAGTAAGATATTTGAAAAGATGGTCCTCACCCTTCCATGAACAGAGCCATACCCTTACTCTTAAGAACGATACTTCAGGTTAAATCCCTAAA